GCCCTTTTTCGCCGTTTTTGCGCTCTCCAATGTGGATTTTTGGATTCAGCATAGCGAATGGACCCAGGTGAGCATTAAATCTCGAAATCGAATTCTTGCGCGGACCCTGCCTTTGAAGAGGTGTATAAATGGCAAACATGGAAGCTGACAAAAGTTGGTTTCTTCTGTGCGGGCACCGTTTCTATCCAGGATTACTATTCTGCCTAAGCCTCAAGCTAACACATCATATCACCTTCTCAACCATTAACAATTTCAAGGTTCAAGGATCAACTGTTTACTTCGCGTGTGGAAGAACGAACGCCCCTGTTTTCGATAAAGCTACCTGAGAAATTTCTCAGGAAACACTATCATTCTCGTGCCTCTTTACAATCGAATGCGAACAGGTGAAGAGAGTCGTCAGCGTTTGCGAATTCTATCGATTTTACCCATGTCCTAGACTAGTAATCACTAAAGACATCGGTATGACACTCATGGATATCGCCTCTGCTAATTCCCTGGCATTTGCCAATTATGACCTGAAAAATGAACCTCGTAAGTTCCACATTCGTCAAACTTTCGAAAAATCTTCGCTATTTAGATAATGGCAGCTCTCTGCTGACTTACACTGTTCCGTTTTACCGATCTTGTGTTGACGCAAATGTTCCTCCGCATATGTGTCTTTGCATGGACGACAAAGCATTGCAAACGGAGGATTACGCGAGGTAATTTATCTTGTTACAAATATCATGGTTAGCGCTATTCTCTCTGCTAAGACGTATGTGATTCAGTCAAAGGCAGCCTCCAGGCAGATCTGGCTTCGAGGATCTCCGTGGAAGGTAGTTTTTAGGTCCTAAATAAGACAGTGCCCAAGCGGCAGCGCAGATGGTGCACTCACGCTGAGATATCGCTTCCAAATTGGACCCCAGAATCGTATAATTGTACGACTCACCTCAAGTGTCCATCACTTTAGCGTGATCTTGCGCGACAGCATGCATGATGTGCAAGTCGTCCGTTTATACGATCCTGGGGTCCACTTCGTAGACAAATATCTCAGCCGTGAGTGAAGCATTCGCGCGGCCACTCTGGCAGCATCCTAGCTAGAGCGCCAAAATTGCTTTCCATGTGAGATCTACGTGGACCAGAATTCCTGGACGCTGCCTCTGTCTGCAGATGCGATGTCCGCAGACCCATACTCGAGCGAATGAGCAATTTGAGCAATAAAATCAAAGATCTTTCCTAAAAAATGATATATATCATAACCTAAAATTTTTCTTGTCCTGACAGGCTGGAGGGTCTTTATCCCTCCACAAACACGGCCTTACATTTCACGTTTTCGTCTTCCCTAGAAGTAATACGTGTTCCAATGCTATCAACGACTCTTAACACCAATTGTCTACTCTATCAGTTTTCTGCTTCCCACAAATACCATAAAATGTCAATATAGAAGGACATACTGCAAGAGTACCGCTACTTGAGCTCTGCACCGAAAAGTCGGCAAATGAATCAATCTTACCACAAATAGAAAAAGATGGTTTGAAGAACACATATAATCATATGAAATGACTCGACTGCAAGATCTACTAGATCTGAAATGATGAATATGCTTTCCCTGCTGCAACATACCCTCTGATTCAATGAAATAGGTGGCTGGAAGGGCGACCGCTCGCACCCGCGCCGC